CCACACCAGTCTCAGGGCATTCAGCAGGGAGGGGATTGTACTCGAGATAATATCAACCCCAGTGCCAGTTGATAAATTCTGTGAAATGCATATTGTGGGTAAGATGTCATGAAAACATACAAATTCATCTTCAGTAAATTAATGTTTATTCTGTAGATGCCTCAGAAATGAAAGTCTGCAATATTATTAAATAAATAACTTGGACAAGGAGACATCCTGGTGCCTAAATAACATGTGGTTAAAGATGTGCAAATCTGCACCTTTTGCTCAAAATTATTTTAGGTCCTGATTTTAAATTTTCGTGCAGCTCTTTGTTTGAATGATCTTCAATACAATTTAAACTTTGAAACATCAGCTGTAATTTGTGGTAGAAACTTCCTAAAAAAATGGAGTAATCTTTGTTTTCCTCAGTCCAGCTATGCCATCAAAATTCCCACAGCTGGACTACAAACCAAGTGCTCACAGTACTGAGTTTTCAAACATTAGAACCACTGAAATTCAAACAAAATAAGCAACTCTTTTTTAAAACTAAATATAATTTGTTAATCTAGAATACATCTTTATTGCTGCTAAAATGTGAAAAAATCAACAAGAGGTGAATACATCAACAGAGAAACCAAACTCGGGTAAGTGCAGTTCAAACTCCACCAGCTCTCAAGGACAGGTACCTTCAAATGGCGCTCGAGAGTTGAGAGAAACTTGGCATTATCCTGAGCTTGCATGTGATGTCTTCTGAGGTCACTTAAGACTATCTGTAAATCTCCAGTAAACCCAGATTCAGCTTTCTGTAATATTTCCAAGACTTTTTGCACCTCTGGAAGCTTTATCTGTGCAGTAAGAGCACTTAAAGTAGCATTTTTTTCACGCCAGAGGTAAATCTCTGCAAGTGGACCATTACCCTACAAGTAATGTGCAATCAAATAAAAAAAAAGGTGAACTATTATTATTATGCAAGAGTGAATATTTATAAGCATGATTACATTTGTTCCTTCTTTTCAATAAACTTTATGCTGAGAGAAACTTGATATGATTCAACCATACAAAAAGCCAGACAGAAGATCCCTTAAATAAAGAGTTGTACACACACAAAGGGAACTGCTTATGGGGAGTGCATCCCTGAGCTTATGGCTTTTGCACAGGCAACTTTATTGACATAAAATCCCTCAGCATGTTTAGTGGTGTTAGTTATATATGTCTTTGCAGAATCAAAACTTGAAAATAAGAATTTTTTTGTTTAAGATAACTTTTTTGCAAATAAAGAAAAAATATAACTGTCTATTTTTAAAAAAATACTTAGTGCAGCTTTTAGTATTTCTTGGCTCTTTAGAAGAGAACAGATAACAAAAGTCCCTTAGTGTAGGATTTGCAGAGAATTACTTAATATTTTATTTATATTCTACTTTCCACAGTTCCTCTGTTCTACTTTTCAAGACTTTTTGTTTGTTTGTTCTGTTTGTTCTACTTTTCAAGAATTAGTAAATGGTTTTCCAGCAATCAAACATGAAGAGGAATTAAAAAAATAACACAGTTCTTGTAGGGAAATGAATCAAAGTCTCCAGGAATAAAAGCATCTTGGTGTTACAGGCAGTTACCTGTGGAACCTTTTTCAGCTGTTCCTCCAGAACTCTGGATATTAATTTCTGCCAGGTCATTGCACACCTTTTCAGAGACTGAACAACTCCTGGAACTGTGGCAAGAAGACTCACTTCTCTATCTAGATTTACAGATGGCATCTCCAGTTTAAGATCCTCTGTTGGAAGAAAATGCACACAGAATGAATTGTCTTGTTCTGGCAGCATTGGTAAAATGGCACCAATGGATGTGTCTCCCCCTCTCCTACTCTACCTCCAAACTCTTTGAAAGACTTAGCACTGACTCCATCCATCTCTCCATGCTGCCTGCTATATTTCAGGGTGAGAAAAGCACAGCTGGTATCAGCAAAGAGCAGCTTTAATAAAATCTGTCATTCTACATAAAGCCACTCTCAGGTGAACCTCGTTCTACTGCCATGGGCTCTAATCACCACAGTGCTGGCAGAGGTAAAATATTCACTTCACCTGGTATACTCAGCTGAGTTTCACCCATTAGAGCATCAGAGTCCTCCACAGACTTTGTAGGTTCAGTCTCAGGTAAATTCCTTTCTTCAGAATCTGTGTTTTCAGTGTCTGAATCAAAGGAAGTTTCCTCAGTCTGCTGCTGAGCTGGTGAAAACTGCTACGATTAAAACAGGTGCCATAGATTAGAGGATGCATAGGAAAAAAAAAAAGCTCTGTAGCAATTCACTTAATTATTAAATATTGTTCTAAAATTTAAGTGTGTCTCCTTCAATTTCAAGTTGTGCAGGGAAATTGGTTCAGCACACCTTCATGAAAGTCTGTGAGCACAGAAATAGACGTGTCTGGTGTCACACCCTTAAATGATTCTCAAATAGGGGAAAAACAGGGAAACAAAATAACAAATAAGGATTAACAAAAATTTCATTTCGGCATATGAAGATCACTTATTAAATATTAATATTTCTTATGCATAGTCCATATAATACTAAATAGGCAAATCACTCCCCGAAACACTCAAGGTATAAAAGCTGTCACTCATTTACCTGTGAGATGGCATTCTTTAGCATCGAGAGACTATCATCAGTCAGCATACCACACTTTATCACTTGAGGAAGAATCTCATTAGCTTCAGTTAGGTCATTAGGTACAACAACTCTTTCTAAACAGTATACAAAAAATTAGTATACATCTAATTAATTGATACAGAAAGAATAAAGTAATTTTCATAGTAAGTTAAAACTTCAATAGAACACTACTAGGTTTGGTGCAAGGCATTTTCAAAACTAGTGCTGGTTTTAATAGTGCAAATGCTTTTCCAGAAAGGGCAGAAAATACTTCAGCATTGTCACCTGGTTCTATGTCTTTACAACCCAGCCTGATAGTTAGAAAATAGTTTTCTGTTCAAAAGAGCAGTGGCTTGATTTGAACTCTTACTCTACAGACAGAGGAGGAAATCTTGCACAGAAATGCTGTTACATGACAAAGCATCCCTGACACTGGCTCTAGTCTGAGTGTTTTCCTACCCAGTTAAATAAGTTGGATGTGCACTATCCTGAGTCCCAGTCTCTATCATATCTTCACAATGGAAGTGTTGTTTAATGCAAAACTGAAAACACCGAGGCTGCAGTCTGCAGTTCTTCAGTCCACATACCTTTGGCGTCTCTCAGAAAATACACAGCAGAATTTGACACAAACTCTTCGGGAATTTCATTAAAAGCCACATAGAAACGTACATTCGTGCCACCTGCATCTGCACAAATGCAAAATGGGAGGAAAGCTTGATTTAACACGGCAAAGGGATGATGTAATTCTACAAATAGAGGGGACAAAATTCTAGAAAGGGATGGGATAGAGTTCGGGAGAACACATCCCAAGGGATAGAGAGGCAGGAAAAGGGGTGAAGACAAGGGTTACGGGGCTGCGACTCAGCAGATGGGACGAAGAGGGGTTTGAGGGAGGGGCAAACAGGGAATTTAGCAGGCTGGGGCAGTGGGATCCTCTCCCGCCCGCTCCTCACCGGCCGGGCCGGGCCGCTCGGGCCGCAGCAGCAGCAGCGCCGTGCCCGCCCCGCTCTCATCCTCGGCGCCAAGGCCGAAGAAGCGCAGCACGACCCGCGCATCCTCGCCGCGGCTCAGCAGCTTCTCCAAAGGCGCCGGCTCGTTCAGACCCAGCAGGGCGAGCGCTCGGTCCCGCAGCCACCGCACCCGCACGTCGTCCAGGCTCATGGCGGCGACCGGCCCGACGCCTCCCGGTGGCCACGGCAACGGTGCGGGGTGGAGCGACGGCTGCTGCCCGCCTTCAGCCCGCTTCGGGAGGCTCCGCGCCCGCCTCAGGAGGCGCCTCGAGCGGCCGCGTTCCCGTGCAGAGCCCGCCCCGCGCTACCGCCGCCCGCGGGCGCTCCTTCCCTTCAACACTGGCCGGTTATCACGGGAGCTCGCTCCCCTCAGTGCCCGCCGCCCCTCACGAGCGCCGGGTTCCCCCGGCACCGGCCGCTCCTTTCCCCCGGCACCCGCCGCCCCTCACGGGCGTCGATGCCCCTGGCACCCGACCGCTCCTAACGGCCGCTTTCTCCTCAGCACCCGCCGTCCCTCACGAGCACTGGTTCTCTCGGCACCGGCCGCGCCTTCCCCCGGCACCCGCCATCCCTCACGAGCACTGGTTCTCCCGGCCCTCACGGCCGCCCGTTCCCCTCAGCGCCGCCTCGGGCAGGGAGAAGGGCACGGACAAACACAGGGCCTGCTCGGCACAGCGCAAACGAGGCTTTATTGGGAAGTCGTAGGAAAGAAGTGCAAAATTTAATTTGTGCTGTTCGTATGGCACAGATGTTAAAATATCATGGCAATATCCCCATTTTCACACTGATACAAAAATAATATAAAACGACCCCTGTCCATCTATGCGGTATAAATTTGGTTCTACAACATCAGGAAGGGCTGTTTGTGTGTCCTTACAGCCAAACAGAAACAGGGATCGAGGCAAATTCTTTATTCCATGTGCAAAAGTTATTCCTCGCTACAGGGGAAAAAAAGAGGAGTAACACTTCTAATCCTGCCTTATTCCATAACATTAAATATAAATATCAGTGTGGTTTCCGAAAGCTTAAAGTAGTAACCCAGAACGAACAGATAACATTTCCAGTGCAATTTTAAATATGGCCAAAAAAGAGCACATTGCATTGGTGTGTATAAATTTCTATTAAATTCATAATCAGCCTGGAATACAGACTGAAAACAGACATTGCTTCTATTGCATTGTTGAATGGTTCCCAAAGTGCACAAGATGCCGCTGGGTTAACATGTGATTAGTAATGAATGTTTAATATAATGAAAAGTCTTTCAGATAACTTAAAAGTAACCATTCAAGAAAATAAAAGAGACTCCAAAAAACGCCTACATGGGTTATGGGTTTCAGGACAAACAGTAACAACCTTTTTTTTTTTTAAAGAATAAAATTAATTTACAACATTAGTTTATCAAGAAAAATGTACATTTTCTATCTATATATTTTACAAGATGCTCCAGATCTGCTATGTCTTTCTATAGGAGGTATGTTTTACAGAAGTGTTTGGCTGCATTATAAGGCAATCAGTGAAAACTCATTTGTTCCACAAGAAACCATTCATAGGCAAGATCCAATCATGCAGTTATTTGCAGACAATTCCAAACATTTCTGCTGACAGCAGCCGAATTATAATGCACCATCTTTATTAAAATGTAAAGAAATGTGCTTAAAAGAGAAAGGCGTAAACTTGTATCCTCCACCGGAGTAGAATTTGTTCTGAAATTCCACCCTGAAACGAGACAAAAAAACAGAATCTGTACATGAATCCAAAATGAGCTGTCAAGGGACAGAACTGTGCAACCAAAGAAGCTGAATAAAACCAACTCAAATCCTCTCTTGTTTTCTGTGCAGATATTTAACCCTCCCATTGCAGTCCCAGGCTAACTTTATGTTTCTCAGGAGACCCACACACACCAAACTGGGCTGTAATGGCTCAGTTCTTACTTCTGGCTTAATCATTTGTTTCTGAGTGAGTTGTAGTCAATCGTTTTGCAGACATGCAATATCATGAGGACAATCTGTAATGTAAATAGTTCACCTCCTGTCTTTGGACACTACACGCCTTTGTTTAAGTTGTAAATTTCATCGGATTTCAAGCTAAACATGCTCTGAATCCACTCCGAAGTGCAGAGCTTGTGATAGCAAGACTAAGAAAGGATTAAAATACTTAAGGGTCAGCAGCCCCACTCATTAATATAAATGTTCTGTTGAAACAAATAAATTGACTGAAACCATATAAAGAGGTAACCAGACTGAAATTAAAAATACTTATCCAAGTTACTAATATTCCACATTGTAAAAAGCTGCAATACTACAAATCAAACTTACTGTATTTTATGAATGTGAAGTCAGAATGCATCATAAGCCAATATAGTATTTGCATCTACTGAAAATATTCCAGAGGAACAACCAAATCCAACTAACAAGCCATTTATTTAATATGACTAAGTAAATGTATTTCAGTAGCAATGAGGCTGTTGAATTTTACACTTTCTCTTTTTAATAAGACACCTAAAATTTTGCCATAAAAAATCCTCTTAAACAAGCCAGTATATGCTGAAGTGGTATAGAGAAAAAAACGAACATACCAGTGAAGTCGTATGGCATGGAGGAAAGCAGAAAGCCCCTCCATGACCAGCAGAATAAAAACTGTCAGCACAGCAAAGAATGCCAGAACAGGGATTAGCAGCAAGACACCGTACTTCGTATCTACACGCAGACCCACTCTCATCACCATCTGCCACAGAACTTCTGATAACTCTAATAAAAACCAAAAAGTTACCGTGGTTAATGTTGGTACTGAGTATTTTCACCCACTGAGCCACTCTCATTTAACCAATATAAGAGCACTTGCTGAACATGGGAACGATAAGCAATCCCCCTCCCCAGAGAGTTGCCCCATCCCTTCAAATGTTTAAAGATACACCTCAGTGTCAAAATCAAATCTACTCAGAGCAATATTTTATATAAAGACACAGTTTTAGTTTGAAGGCTTCCACAGATCATGATTAGTTGAAATAGGGATTTTTTTTTTTTTATTAAGAAGTGTTTTTCATACCAGTTTCACTTGAATAGGCCAGCCTCCCTCTAAGGGCATTAAAAATACAAATGCAGGGAAAAAAAAACCAAAAATATCAAAAAACCCACCCCCACTTACGTGCATGAGCAAGACTTAATGCCCAGAGTCTCAGGTATGAAGCTGTGTTAGAGATGCATCCCAGACAGTATTCAATGGTGTGAATTGCTTGATTCATAAAAACATCTGCAAAGTTAAACTAAAAGATAAAAATACATTTGTATCAGTTTTAACAACATAGAGAACAAAAACATTAATCTGCCAATCCTTACTAGATGGAAGAGGAATTTCATTGAAGGGTAATAAATTGATTTTATATCAAGTAAAAAAAGTCTGCCACATAGAAGATCCTTATTACAGAGATAACATTAAAAAAACCATCAGATGCTACAGTTTTCTAGTATTACCTTGTTGACAGATAAAAACAAATGCAATTTATGTTTTCCACAAGGAATATGATCTAATACTTGAAAACTTTATGTATTATAACCAGCCATTATTCTAATTCCCATTCTATTGAGGTTCTAGGCTTACAGTATCAATTTTTTAATCTTTAAAAGCAGGGGTAATTATGAGTAATGCTACTGATAGAAAGCCACATTAATATTATAAGTTCTAAATATAAATACTTATTACTAACAGTTTCAAAACTGATATTACTGAAAATTTCAACAGTTACTTTGTATAATAGATTTTATTTGAGCAAATATTTCCTGTGTTTTCTGTACACAAGAAACAAGAGTCTACTACTCCAGTGAGACAAGAACTGTACATATTCTGCACATTAGGAAACTGAAGCAATTCTTTGTCTTTCAATTCACATGGAATCAGTGGAATCTGCCCAGACCTTTAAAATTTTGCCCAAACTAAACAGCAGCAGTGGGTGGGGACTAGGAATGCTGCCCATGTCCCCCAACCCCATTAGCAATAATCCTCATCACAAGATGTATTTTGGAGAAACAGAAAGACTTTTGTCCAGATGAAAAGCCAAAATTAATTAACAGGAAGCTGGGCAATTGCCACCTTGCCTCAAGTTTAAGAATCCATAAAACCAGACAAAAACCCAGGATTTTTATCTCTGCTCAATATAAGAAAACCTGTACTCCTAGATGCAGAGTCTTAATTGCAAATAAAACACTTTCTGTTCTCTACTACAAATAGGTTGTGGTTTAAAGATAAAATAGCAACAAATAACCGTAAGTAAACTGCATTTGGGCACCAAGGTCTTTGTAAAGGTTCAGCTGAGTTTCTTCAAAACTGCTCAGCACACAGTGTACAGGTTATCTATTGACTGCCCACTTCTAATTAGCTTTTAAGAACATACAAACCAGAGATTAAGTACAAACATTACCTCTTCTGCATCTCCTTCTCTGTGCCCACTGTCTGAATGATTGACACCTTCCTCGAGATCATGACACGACAGGAGACAAAGCTCTTCCTCACTTTCCTTTCGGACGAGCTTGTAGCCACTCTACAAAATAGGAATGGATTGTCTCTTCAAGCAGGCTGCCACTGTCATTTCTTAAATTTACTTAGAGTAGTTGCAGGCAAAGGCAAAAAGATTTAGAAGAACAAAGTACTATTTATGTGTTTCAGTCCAAAACTTTTCAAATTGAGCAGAAACTGGTAAGACAAGGAGTAATGGGTTCAAACTGAAATTTAGGTTAGATATACGAAATAAACTCTTTCCTATGAGGGTGGTGAGGCTCTGGCACAGGTTGCCCAGAGAAGCTGTGGCTGCCCCAACCCACTGTGGCTGCAGTGTCCAAGGCCAGGCTGGAGAGGCTTGGAGCAACCTGGGCTAGTGGGAGGTGTTACTGCCCATGGCAGAAGGTGGAATGAGATGAGCTTTAAGTTCCCTTCCAACCCAAACCATTCTATTAAATACCCAGTAAGGACATACTCTGTGCAATGAAACAGCAGCTGAATTCTGCTACGCTGAGGAAATGTGTGAATGTCTTTCAGTACTTACCCTGTACATTCTTATGCCTCGGCCTCCACTGTGCAACCAGTATAAATAAAGTGGTTTACCAAGCAGCATTACAGGAACACAAAGCAAAGCAACACTAAGTAAAAATTTCTGCAGAGGAATCTGTTGGGGGGAGATGAAAATTAGATTAGATCACAAAATCCAAAGTAGGAAAAGCCATCCCCTTTTCCTTTCAAGTATATCTGCGTAGGGAACACAGGATTTCCAAAAGCTTGGAAGAGAATTACTCACCTGGCCACTGAAGAAGCTCTTTGTTTCAGCACTAGGAAACAGGAACATGTTAATAAATTGAATCAGAATACTGGGGGCAGCAGTGGAGTCCTCTGCAGAGTATGCCAACCATTTAAAGAAGATCATGAACACTAGGTAGCCAAATATGCACAACATGAATAAAAGTTCAGGAATAAAAACCAAATAAACATTATAGGTCTTCTTGAAATGCCTGAAAGGTAGAAATGGGGAAAAAATAAAAGTAAGTTTTAGCAACACAGCCCAAATATGATTTCAATGAAACAAAACACTTTCAAACAGCAAGACTAAGATTACAATCCAGAGCTGATTTCTTTTTATTCAGTGAAATTTGATCAGGTATTTCAGTGTAAATAAAAACTGTAAGAGGCACATATCTTTATTTACCAACAAGTGAAATAAAGTTTTGTATTAATTTGTTTTGGGATTTTTTAGTATAATACTGAACCATCTTACATCTTACATATGTGAAGGAAGGCCTCTCCATTATTGTCTTTTTTTAAGAACAGTTTTCACAATTACTCTTATTCTGTTCTCAAAAAGTAATTCCAGTTTCTCTTACAAGATTAACTGTTGTAATGCCAAACTCGACAAAAAATACAATGCTGGTATTATTTTAACTTCTTGTACTTACAAGTGGTTAAACAGCCCCAATACAACTCCAAATGTCATGTGAGTCACTCCAAAAATCACAGACATTTTCATTTTGAATGAATTTAAGAAAGTGAGACGGTTGCTTGCCAAATTCCATATCTGAAGAAGAAAACACCAAACCAGCATTGAAGAACACCATAACAGAAGGAATAAACCAGTAACCTTTTTCTACTGGGAACCAAAATTCTACCTCAAATGGAGGTCACAACTGAAATCTGACTTTTGTAAAAATAGCTCAGTCTTTGACTTGTCAGAAGAAAAGGTTTTGTTAAACAAAGAATGCAAACAGAAATGTACTTTTTTTCTTTGTCAGATTTATCTTACTTATACTAAAACCTAATGGACAAAGACTAATCATCACCAGTGGATAATTAAAAAGAATGGAACTAACCGGATCAATCCCAAAGGGATAAGCTCCATTGTAGACACCAGAAATATTTGGATCCAGGGCTAAATATCGATTAGACTTCACATCCTCAGTGCTGGAGTGAAAGAAAAACACACTCAGATTTGACACTTTAAACATAATGGCAACATACTTTCAGTTCTGCAAGATACTGTTCCTGCTTTCCTTTACCTAACTCACCCTCTGTCACACTTTTTTTAAAAGAGTGAAATGATTTCTAAGCACTGAAGTCCTGACTAATACAAACAACAGCAAAAAAAATCCACCCAGAACCTCACAAACTGGGCTTAATTCACATTCATGATCTTTCAAAACAAAGTTTACGGATTTTATCCCACATTCCCCTAGAACTCAAAAGTTTCATTTTAAAAGTTCACAGTTTGCTTTTGCATAAAATTCACTGTCAAACACCCAAAGAAAAACTGCTACCTTTTTTTCCCTTTCACATTTGGGGAAGTTTCTACTTTATTTTCATATACTTTTATTATCACGGCATACACAGTCTGTTCAAATTTTAACCAAAACCAGTGGTCTTGACTATTTGAAGCCACATCCTGTTTTGTAAGGCACCATGAGATGTAAGATGTGAACATTTGTGTACCAAAGGGGCATAACACCTCAAATTAATGAGGTTATCCCACTCTGAGAAAAATAAGATTTGACAATTCACACAGACTATTTTTTTTTACTATCAAGAAAAGCTGTGCAGAGACTGATGATTGCCAGGTAATTAATTTACTTAATTAATAGTTAATTTCTTTTAGTAGAAGCTAATGCTGCTCAGCTATTCATTCCAGAAGCATGACCTAGGACAAATAAATCCAAAACTAGACCTGTATTTTCTATTCCTCTGAAAGTCTTGATATAAACATACACACATACCTGGAAAATATAAACTAAAACATCAAAGACAAACCATAACAGGACAGTTAAAACATTCCTGCTGCAGGAAATACATCTCTGGTTTAATGGCATAGCAAACATGCTGCTCACCTCCAAACCTTCTGCTCAAACATTGCTGAAACATTCCATCCAGATCCAAATATATTTATTGACTTTGAAAAGCAGTCATTATAGATCAATCCAGTGTATATGGAAAACAGCCCCATTAACAGTATCACGTATCGGCCTTCAAATAACATTTTCATTATCTGTCAGTATTGGGAAAAAAAGAAAAAATAGAGAATATCAACTGTTATGGGAGCAAAGGTTAGTTAGATGTGTCCAAGAGAAACACATTTTTGGACACATAAAGACTTCTAAAAACTAAAATTTATTAGTGAACAATCGTTAAGGAATATGAGCTCCCATAACATACACTGAGATTTTTATCACAGGCTTCCTTACATTAAGGAAGGGTCTTTTTAAGCCATTTCCTTCCTGGACTACTTTACAAGAAATTACACATTTGCAGGCATTCTTAATTGAACATAATTCTAATGAGAGATGCAGGTGTTCCTGCATTCCAACCTGTATGATTAAAAAATTAAAGTGAAGTTTAATAAATTTTAAACTGCACCTCTTTTTATAAACAATAAAAAGTGGAATTTGAAAACTCGTTTTCTCCTCACATTGTCACTTTTAATAGTTTAATAGTTTAGTATTTTAAAATACATCACTGAGTAGACCTGCTAGAAGAAAAGACAAGCTTAAAAGCATCAATTAATTTTTTCTAAAGTCTTTCATTACAACTTGATTATTTCTGCTCTTTCTAGGAAAGTGAATAGTTTAAAATATTAATCTCAAGGAATATGGGGGCTTTAAACACAGAAAATCCTAAAATAATGGAAAAACCCTAATTAAATACCCATGTAAAAAACAATAACTATTCAAATGATCTGGCGGGATGGGAAGCAAATAATTTGTAATTCCTTTTACCTCATCTTGTGCTCTTTTCAGCCTAGGGTGGTTTTCATACAATATTGTCAGGAGTGCAAATAAGAACATGAGCAGTCCATGCCCGAAGTCTCCAAACATAACAGCAAACAAGAAGGGGAAAGTGATGATGGTAAAGAGAGCTGCAAGGGCAACACAGCAGATTGCAGATTTCAGGCACAGCACAAGGGATTCTGTCTGCATTATCCCCAAGCAATCCCATACTTAAATCTTTCCAAGTCTTTAAGTTCTAAAGACATTTCATCCCCTACTCATAGACCTTTCCCCAACACTGTAAATTTAACTCAGTTTAAAGCTTGTTAATTGTGTAGCAATGATAACTTCACAGTTGAGCAGTAGCTGACAATTCTGAGGATAATATCAGCCCAGGAAATAAAACCCAACCAAACCCAAGCCCACTTCTTCCTCTGTGGGTATTTCAGGCCTGTATTATAAGGGTCATTCTCCTGTGCAGAACATCCCAGTCAACATGGCTAACAATTATATATTAAAGTGGGCTATACAACAAGCTGAATTTTTCAAGTGATGAGCTCCACACTTCAGTAATATCAATTACCATTACCAGTTTTCTTTTTTTATCCCTTAAATATCTTCCTTACCCAAAATAAGACATATAAAAGAAAAATTATACAGCTATTACCACTACCTTCCATGCTAAAATAATTAACAAAACCAAATCCCATCTTGCTGCTTGGAGTGCTGTTTGTGCTTTTGATGAGCTACTGAAAATTTTAAAACAGGTACTAACAAGCAGTATGATTGTCACCATTTGGCCTCTGCCAGTGTCCAATTCAGCAAGGTATCAAGGCAAGCAGCAATGACAGCACAGCTCACAGCTCAGCGTTCAGAAGGACCAACCTGGATTAACTTCCCCATAGTTTCCAACTCCATAAGCATCAACGATGTTCTGGAACCCTGAGGTGAATTTATTGGTACGTATCAAAGTTGGGGGAGGTTGTGTTGTTGGGATGGTATTCATGAAGGAGGAAACTGTAGCTCCACTCTTCCTCTAATTACAGACAGAAGACAGACTTGTGTAAGATCTTTTATTCTAATCGAAGTGAAAACATTTGCTCTATCTGCAGTTTCACTGATCCAAAAATACCATCAAATTAAGCCCCAAGTTTAACATTTATCCCTTTGTACCCCCTCTAAAAGCAGATAATGCACAGTGTTCTAATTCTTGCTTCGTATCAACTATCAGATGAGACTTGTCAGTAACAACGTTACAAAGCAAAGATTTTTTACAAATTTTCTCTCATAAAACAAAAACCAATGCAAAGGAACTGGCACCTTCTGCATGACTGCAAATAGCACTGTGGGCCCAGCCGGACTCAGGTCCAATACAGAAGTTATTCAAGAAAAAAAAACACTACACACACCAAATAAAGGCTCTGCTTATAAAAAAATTATTTTATACAGAGACCCAGATCTGTGTCTATTGTTAATGACTATTTTCTTTCCTTATGTGTATAGTTAGTTCAAGATAAAAGCTTTAACATCAGTGAGCTTTCAGGTGACTTACTGAGCCTTCCTCCAATGCATGGCGTAAATTCTGGAGATCAGCCACTGGACACCAAACCTCAGCAATTAAACATTTGTTTGTGACATCAAAACTGCACAGGTTGAGGACGTGGTAAATGGCTTTCATCTTCTTCACCTGGATAACCCAAGTATAGATGGATTCCGATGCCTTATACAAGACCTGGCGCAAGTATTCCTCAGTTTTATTCAGCACCTTTGAGAAAAAACCAAAGATCTCACTGAGAATGTGACAGTGGCTGTGATGATCACAGCAAGAGCACCTTGTACATGTCCAGGGCTGGGCCATGTTTTTAGGAGAGCAAGCAAACCTCTGCTGAAAATAGATGACAATGCCAAGTGCTGTGAGGTTTAACAGATACGTGTAACACAAAATCAGGGACACAACTCACTGTCCCACCAGCTCCAAAGCTGTAGGTATGTTAGAAATTGTATTTAACATTGTGATTCATCAAGTGATTTCCTACGGTGCTACAGCTCCAGCAAAAGGAAATCTGTTCTTTACTCACAGTTTCAAGATCCTGAATACGAACATTGAGTCCTTCGACCACGGCCTGGCGCTCCTCGGTGGTGTCGGGGTAGGGGTACACGTGACAGCGATAGCTGCAGGAACACAGGGCTGTGCTAAATGACCAAAGCCCACCAAAACACATCACCCACCCCCCTGCACAGCCAAATCTGTAACACACCACTTAAAAACCACGGAACAGACTCAGCTCAGAGGCAGAATTTTGCCTGTACTTGGTAAAGACCGCAAGTGAAATGACTCATGTATTTATTTGTACGCTGCATAATTATAGAGATGGATGCAATAAGGGGAGGAACAAATTCAACATAAAAAACACAAATCAGAAAGGGGTGCAGGGGAAAAAACAACTAGAATATACCCCAGGTATAAAGGAATGTACATATATTAGATTTACTTCTTACCAGTCACAAATCTTCTTAACTTTTTGACCAATTTGTTCACCCCAATAGGACACTAAAAAAACAGCCCACTTTGTGGTTTCACCCTAAAAAGCCATAAAAAGTAAAGCTGATGAATTATGTTTTAACCAGCAATTCCACTGTGACATAATTATAGTGCTAAGTAACAAAGCTGAACAACTAGAAAAAGCTGTGTTAGTAGCAATAATCTTCCATCTGATTAGTGAAGATCAAATAATAAAATTCAACAGTCAATATCAATTGTATCAATATCTCTTTTTTTTAATATTAGAGAAAATCAGAAAAAGTTTCCAGGGAAAATCCAAGACACATTACATTCTACTATCTCAGAATTCTTAGTAAGAAAAGAGTATTTTAAAAAGGTAACAAATTAGAATTCAAGAAAAAAAAAAAGTGACAGATGAGGATGCCGTAATTGATTTACAAAAAATTAATTTTCTAAGTTGACAGTAAATATTTCACAGAAAACTTGCTGTACTTGGCTCTTTCTTAACTACTGAATGAACAAGTGAAAAGGCTATTAAAAGGCAATGCACTGTACAGACCTAGTTAATAAATATCCAAGCAGCCATTTCTGCCACGTATTTTGACCAAGGTGGCCAATCATAAAGTAACCACAATTCCACAATGAATTTCTGCACTCGTCAAGCTGAACTACAACAAATGAATTGCCACTTCTACAATCCTAAATTTTAAAAATCTTACAAATTCTAATACTTCAAAATAGTTTTTCCTCCAAAGACACTGGGAAATCGTTTCCATTTACTGCAGACAGACCGGAGCAGCAATTCTTCCTAATCATATGAAAAGTACAAATGAAATAAAGTGATCATCACAATGTTTACTCACTGTATCTGGATCTTCCAGAGCCTTATCCAACTCTGCATAGGTAAGAAAGGGATAGCCTTTACAGACTCTCCACAGCATTTTTTCAAATGCTTCAATCTTTGCTATGTGAACTAACCCAGATATGAATCTAGGAAAAGGAAAAATTTGAAATATAAGATAACATTTACAAGAAAAAAAATTTGAAATTCAGAGTATATAACCACAATTATTTAGTATCTGCCATATCTAGGGAAGGAAGCATCACCCTGAACAGGAAGAAGCTGGTATAGAAAATGCCAGATGGAATGTAAAATTTTTGTTTGCAAAATAAACAGACTACAGACCTGAGCACACAACTGGAATTACTTCTAACTGATTATTTCTGTGATAGTGAGATCATTTTTTTCTTCTTGGAAGATACTCTCTCATAACAATGCCACAGACAGCAGTATCCATTCAGCATTTCAAAGGCAACACAATTAATGTTACATTTACAACTCACACTGCCAGGTGATTAAAACACTGTGTGTTTCTCATAGAAAAAGAGTTTAAACAATAGAAGGAAGTATTGATTTAGAGATTTTCCTTTACACACGTCCTTGGTTTGATGGAAGCTTTGTGACAGCTTTTTTTGGCGCTGTCCTATTTATCTCTTCAAATAATCTGGGTTTGTTATAAAGGTACATTGGGGCCAGGCTCCTGTCCTGTCTAAAACTGTTTGGCACACCTGAAATCACTACAGGCCATCTTTTAAGAGAACAACCCATTCCTTACAGCCCTTCATCAAGCACTTCTGAAACAGCACATGCCATACCCACCCCAGGGAGGCACTCAGTCTGTGCGTGCGGTTGAAATCCACCAATGGCTCGTTTTCTACAGAAGGAAATTCTTCCAAATTTCCATGTAAATGGGATTCATACTAGCAAATAAAAAGAAAGAACATTCATTGCTTTCAGGAATGAAAAACCCCCTCTCATTCCACTATTGTTCTAAAGAAGAAAAGGTAATTAGGTAAACGGTTTAATTAAAAATATAAAACTCATTTCCGTGTTCAAGTCAGGCAACAGAGAGATCCTGGATGCCAAGTGCACTGCTCTCAACAATTACAGTTAGTGCTGCAAAATTACACTCTAAATCTCTTAGCACAATTTATGCACAAAAATTACACTTTCATTTTCTAGCAATTCAACAGGGAAAAATCACAAAAATGCCACACAACAAACCCTGTCAAATGCCCCAAGCAATACCTCAGGTGGTCTCCTAACAAAATTCTGTGTGATCTGTAACATGTACTTGTATTCTGTCAGTTCAAGCAGGTTTTTCCTCAATTTTTCTTTGTTTTTAGTTATTTCCCTCAATTCCGTCTCCAGCTTCTGCAGCTGTTCCTAAGACAAAGAGTAAAGAAAAGACACAGAATCAGTTACAGGATTTTGGGGAAAGGAGTAGGATTCATTTCCAACACATAATAATTTGACAGAGTGATAGGAGTTTCCCATTTCTTAATTAACTAAAGCTCCATAGGTTTTATCCCTCAATCTCCCAAAGACTGCTTTGTATTGAGTACACTTGATCCTCCATGGCATCTGTTCAGCCTGCTGTTCTGCCCCTAATTTGTGTCAAAATAATGCAGACCTGGAATTAGAAATGCAGACAGTACAGGGTGGAAGATATCCATTTATTCTTTTAATATAATTACAACAAAACAGAATGTTATTCAAAATTAGATCTGTGTTTTACAAGCTTCTACATTGAATGCAACACCAGAAAAAGCATTCAGAGAAAACAGCACCACGTTCTGCTGTGTGACCAGCACCTGCAGAGCCTTGGGCAAGCAAAATTCCCACACACCTGGAAATTCTGGATGCACAAAGAGCCTTAGTTAAGTACCAAAGCAATAAATGAGGCTGAGGGACTGCATCTACAGACAGCCTGCCTGGAACAGTGTGATGTGCCAATCCATCAAAGTACAATGGATGACTGCATGCTCCCTGAGTTTGCTTTCACAGGAATTTTGTGTTAATACCAAAACCCCACTGGCTTTGAAGTCACACTGGCAGCAAGGGATCAGACAAAAAGGAAAACAAAATGCTTCTGCCCCCACTGCCACACCCTGACAACTTAAATCAGAAGTAGTAAGATAGCAAGTCATTAAGCTTGAAATTAATTTCCAAGACTTCAGCATCTGTTTAGTGGAAGTTACCTGAATTTCTAAAATGTGTTTCAGCAAGGGGGCAGGAGGAGCAACGTCTCCTTCAGGAAGTGGAATATCTGCTTTTTTAATTTCTTGTACTAAATACCCTGAAGTGAGAAGAAAAACAGAATCAGAAAGGAAACTGCATTGCCCACACTTCCTAGAGTGCTGCAGAGTTGACCTTCAGCTGTTCTTGATGGTGCTAATCACACTGCAGCATCAAGCCCTGGCTATTTTATTCATTCATTTTAGAAACAATGCCCACACAGAAGTGTTCAAAAAAGAAGAACTTAAAGAGCACTGGGGATAAAACACACAAACTATTCCTGCCTTGGAAGTCTGCAGAAGCAAGCAAACTTCAGAGGCTTCTCTTTCCCAACAAGTATTTTCTAAGAAGCTTTTACCATTTCACAGAACCTCTTTGTGCTGCACAGTGTCACTTTCTGCTAATGGTGCAATAGTGTCCCTTTCTGCCAGAAACAGACATGCTGCTAACTGACCCATGTTTGGAATTAAAAAGTTTTTTAAACAAAGCAGCTTAAGCAACCTTGACAACAAATGCAACTCACACTGGGCAAGGGGACCGCCAGAATAGCATGACCAGCACATGCCTCTGATGAGAGATTCCAATCAAAAGAATCCTTCAATTCTAACTTTTCCTCAGGATACACTGAAAACATCTGCATCTTGGCTGTAATGCTCTGCATACCCTTTTCTCTATTCATTAACTACCATGAGAACACAATTATTAATAACTTGATGTATTTTTGAGGGTGCCTGGAAAATCAACAAAACTGAGTCGCACAACATGAAAAAACAAGGAATATCTTACAGTCAAGGATTAGTCCACAGTAAAGCTTCCCTTTTCCTAGCAGAGTTTTAAGTAGCAAACACTGAAACAGCCTCATCTATTTATCAGCAACACATTGGCAACTGTTCTTTACCTCTGAGCTTAAAAAACCCCAAAATCTATATGTAGTGTAAGTAAATTTCACAGCTTACAAAACCTGGGAAGGTTAAAAAAACCTGTAGCTGAAACCTCCACAGTAGTGCCACTCTGGTAACGCCCCAGGTGAGAAACAACAGACATGGAAATAAAGCTCACCAAGTATTCTTTCCATTTCTTCACATTTCTTCACTTCATTCACATATTTTCTCTGAAACACACTTACATTTGGGTTAAGCTGAAGGAGAAGGACAAAATGCTTATTAAGGATTTGAAATAGTAACCTCCCCTAAAAAAACCACAGCTGTTCCTGCAACTTCCTGGTGACAATTTGCATGAACTCTGTGCTCTAAGTGCTTTTCAGCTAAGAAGGCACAAAAACCTAAAAAGATTACAAACACATCAAATAACAAAGTTGGCTTTATTAAAGCACAATTATCCATGCCATTGGCTAGCTTCAATCAAACAATAAAACAACAAGGTCTACTGGAGAAACCATTCCTAATCTTATTTTAACAGTTTTAAAATACTGCTTAATGACTTCGAATTAACCCTTTTGCAAATTTGTTGTGATGCATTTCCACAGTCTATTTGAAATATTAAATTTTGCATACATCCTATTTATATACATACTACTTATCCAGCTATTAAATCAGAACCACTAATGTATTATTTCTATAATAAATGGTGTATCAGGTAACTAGAAAGACATCAAAATGTTAAACATACACTCATGTAATCGTTCTTACAGATCTTCCTCCTCCTCCCTGCCATATTTACTAACTAGCTGTTATTTAAGTCTTCCCAGCTTTCCCTGCAACGATTTTGCAAGCTACATTTCTAATGTATATTTGGAAGACATTCCAAAGTCTCAGCAAGCAAAGATCATATAATTATGATGAGACAGCGCAGAGACATGGCTAATTATGGCCCAGCCCAACTTTATGATAGGCAGGCGGGCAGGGAGTTTCTTGCAAGGTGAAGTGCCCCTCCAGGAACAGGAACCTGCGATCAATAAAGCTGGAGAGCAGGTGTTTGTATGTGTCAGTGGGGTGGATGGATCCATCACTGTGCACACACGCTCAGGCTGAAGGCACTGAGGCTGCAGGTGGGTCAGGGGCTCTGCCATGGCATCTCGCTGCAAATAACCCCAAGTTTAAGCTATTTCTGTGAGAAAGGTGGGATACAGCCATCCCAAAGCATTCCTCCCGACAGTGCCGGCGAGGCCAGGGCTCCACACTGACTTCCCATCACCCATCCCAGCCACGTCCCGGTGCCACCTCTCTGGGTGACCCTGCCTTGGCAAGGGGTTGGACCGGATCATCTGCAGAGATCCCTTCCAACCCTAGCAATTCTGTGATCCCGCTTTCAGGCGAATGCCACACAGGCACGGGCCATACACCTGCCTGTCGGAGTCGGTGAAAGACGGGAATTAAAGCAGTTTCCACCGCCCCATCGGGGCCAAGCCCACACCTCCCCGAGGGCGGCCGCGGGCCCGGCTCGGCCCTCAGGCCGGGCCCCCTCAGGCTGCCCGCACCCCCCAGAGAGCCCCGGCCGTACTCACGTCTCGGAACTCGGCCAGGCCGCGCTCGCCCACCTCGCTGAGGCACTCGTAGGCCGAGCCGCTCTGCAGGAAGAGCTGCGCCAGGCACACGGGCTCGCCGCGGAACAGCGCGCCCATGGCGGCGGCGCGGCCCGGGGCTCCCGGAGCGGGGGGCTCAGCGCGGCGGGCGGGCGGAGCGCGGCCCGGGGGCGGCCATGGCGGGGCGGGGCGGAGCGGGGAGGAACGGGCCCGGCCGCCGCTTCCGGGGCGGGGAACGCGGCCCAAATCGGCGGCGGCGCGAGCGGCGCTCGGGCACTGCCGGCGGAGCGAGCGGGAACGGCAACCGGCGAGCTGGCAGCCCTTGAGGGGCTGCTGTGAGGGGGGAAATGCAGGGCTGAGAGAACGTCATAGAAACACAGAAAATGCTGAGCCAGAAGGGACGAAATGATCATCGAGCCCTGCACAGCACCATGCCCCAGAGCCACACTGTGTGGGCTTGGAATGGAGCTTAATAACACCCGGTCCCAGCCCTTCCTGCCCTGGTTGCTCCACTTTGAACACTGCCACAACCTCACTGGGCAACTTGTTCCAGTGTCTCATCACCCCCACAGTAAAAAATGTCTTCCTAATATCTAACCTCAATTTCCCTTTTTTTAATTTGGACCCGTTACTCCTTGTCCTGTTCTACGGTTCTTGATGAAGACGCCCCTTCCATAGCCCTGTATGCCCCTTCAGATACTGGAACGTTACTGTGAGGTCTCCACACAACTTCTTCTCCAGGCTGAACATTCCCAGCTGTAGCCTGTCTTCATAGCAGAACTGCTCCAGTCCTCTCCTTAGCTTGGTGGCCCATCCAAACCACAAGAAAATCCCAAATGTTGCATTTCATCAGCTAAGAACAATGAGTAGATGTTTTCTGTGCACATTCACAGCAGGTTGCCAATGCAAAGCATTAACTGGAAAAGAGAATTTCAGATCAACACATGAAAACAGCTGAAGGGCTACAATTTCTCAGAAGTGTGAGAAGTCTGCCCACTGCTCCAAAAATTGGTGGGTACAAGGGGTTTATTGTCAAGAGGAGCTTCAACTCTAGGAGAAAAGAACTGGGGTCCATCCATGAGGACAATCCAAACCGCGGTGAAGCCTCTGGGCTGGCCACCTTCAAGTCAACTCTACACTTTGCTACTCCAAACACGGAGTCTAGAGCTTAAAAATAATTTATTCCTTTTTGTTTTAAGTAACAGTCATTTTCTGTATGCTGTAGAAGTACTGATTTTATGTATCTTTAAATGTTCACGTAAATTGTCTACAAAATCCAAGAATGTTTCTCCATAATTTTTACCTATCTGTTCCATAATTTAGAAAACCAAGGGTTGCTCGTAATTGCTGCAAGTAAAACAAGAAATGCCAGAAACAGGCCTTTAGCAAGACACTGGGAATATGGCTCTCCTGAAAAAAAAACAAAACAGAACAAAACAAAAATGTGAGTGTGTGAGCTATAAGCTAAATTTTAGTTTATACAACAACCCAAAGATACAGATTAAAGTGTATGCAAAAGCATTCTTTCAGACTAAACTCCCCACATCTAATTATGTTTCAAAGAAATACAGCCTTTCATGCTTTGTGGCATCCCACATTGTTTATTATTTTACCTGTGTAAAAGCGTGTCACTGGATAAAGGAGTTGTGGCCAGCACACCTCATTTCGATTGCAGTCAAACTCTGCATAAATCTTGTGATACCTGGAAAAAAGAAACCTTTTGGTCAATGCAAGTCGCATTACATCTGCTGAACATAAAGGGAAGTTGTTTTTACCAAAATTACCTCGTTACTGGAGGGGGTGGCTGAGCTGGGACTTCAATGAACTGAACAGAAGCTGTGATGGGAAGAATGCTGAGGGTGTTTTTGCAGCCAATCCCACACTGGAACTGCCATAAGATTGTTGAGTAACTGTAACAAAAAGCATAACTATTTTTTGAGGGCTGGAAATGGAAGTTTAGACCCTAAACACAAGCGGGAAAGGACAAAATGCACAGTTTTTATGAGGAGGTTGATAATCCCTGGATTTTCTACATTGTACAAAGGGAGAATTTGCACAGTCTGAAAATGAGGTAAAATGGAACAGAATCCCACTTATTTGATAGGGATTTACTTGTGGAGGAGGGGAAGTGTTTGCAGAGTGAAAATTCACTGTTTCAGGAAAGGATAAAGTATTTAGCACAGCTCCCAAGAGCTCAGCAGTGGGGTAAGCCAGAACACAGGACAATCTTGTTGCTTCCACCACATGACTCCTGATGGGATGCCCTGTGTATAATTGCTGCTGGCAGAATCATGTATTTTATTTAATATTTCAGTGAAGTATAAATATTATCTAATTTTACTTTTTCTTTAATTTTCATTTCAGAGGGAGGAAGGCTAACCTGGTTGTGATCAAAGGAATTTGGGTCGCAGAGTGAAAGGCATGTAAAAAAACAGCAACAAAAGCCACCCTTTTTTGTTTGTAAAATTAATTTGGGATATGTTAGGTAAGCAAGGCTCAAAATGAAGCATTTCTTTGTCAGATAGCCAGAGACATAACTCACTTTACCTGATCTGCACAGCCAGAATCTGCTGCTGGGGAACCCCTTGCACTGCTCCCACTTTAGCAAAGATGATGCGGATATTCAGGTTTGCAGGAATATCTGGACAAATGCCTTTGAAGCCTCCAGTGCTCACATTAGAACTAAATGGATCAAGACCTATGAAGGAGAACAGAGGGATTTAAATGTAAATATTATGGAAAACATTATATATTCCATAATTAGATTATTCTCATAGCCCAGTGAAATGCTGGTAACTGTCACACAGGAACATATTTTAAATGTTTCTCTCTATAAAAAACCACCTAAAGGAGTAATTTTTCAACAGATAAATACCAAGTCATATGTGTACAGTGAAATATGCAGTATTCACTGACATACTGAATTATGTGCCTGTGTGTACACATACATAGATGGATGGATGCAGACACACACATCACTAGTTTTAGGTATTTAAATTTACAATTTGGATTTATTACGTGCTTTATTTACTGCATGGGCATATTTAGACTACAGAGAACAACACAAGCCTCACTTACGTATAATTTCCACCCAGTCATTTAGATCACTGTAACTGGAATTGTCCCTCTTTCCAATGTGAGTAGCTTGTATTAATGCATTCAATTTCTCAGTCACATTTCCTCTGCAAAGTAAGAATGTAACACCACACAGAATGTAAATGTGTACTGTTTTACCACTGTGGGATGCAATATTACTGTATCCTAAGGTCAGTTTCATCTGAAAGATGTTATCACACAACCAAAACAAACTTGACTATTGAAGGGAAGAAATGGCAAAGTATTGCAGCCAACACAATCCTCATTTGAGTAAAGAGTGAAACCATTATTATGATTTCCCATCAAAACCAAAAGTGAGACTATTAACCACAGAAAGCTGAAACACAAACGTGAATGTTGAAAAAGAATGTACCAGTTCTGATGGGAAGCACTTGTAGACAATCACATAACAATCAACAAGAGATATGAAGCAGGGATAAACAATTCAGCTTGTGTAGCTCACCTTAAAAAGCTGCAATCTTCATTAATATCAACTTCTAGAATGCACCCAGAGTATGAGTCTACTCCAAATAGAACTGGTCTGTAAGATGCTGATGCACATAAACCTCTGCCAGCTATGAAATGAAAAAATCTTACTTGAGCTTTCCTATTATCCACCTTTGGATCTCTAGCTTTCAATTTTGTGCAAAACATCAAACATTAGAATGCAAACTCAGCACGGTAGAGTTAAAAACCACATACAAGTCCATTCAATTTTCCAAGAAAGCATTAAAGGTTTTCTCATTGACCTTTGAAAGTCTGAGAAGGAAAAGCAACATTTGGCAGAGATTTTTAACTAAAATATGTATAAAAAATCCAAAAAACAAATAAAGTTCCAACATTTTAGTATTAACTACAATTGAAGTTGCAGCCTCACAAGCCAATACCTGGCTGCCAAATGTTTAGGCTTCCAAGAGGATCAGAAGCATTCAGATTTGCAGCTCTCACTGGTTTTCCAGCTTGATACCCTAAACAGAGAGGAGTAAATTATGAACACTGCAGAAGAATCTGTAAGCATTAGCACTGTTTTAAATGTCATCAATCTTGAAGTACATGACAAGGATTTCCATTACAGTGGGAATGGCCTCACTTTAAATAATCAATGTCTATGCAACAAAAGCCTAAGGACCACTTACTGCTATTGGCAGTGCAGTAAGGCAGGAAGGTGAAGACTGGCAACATGAAGAAGTACAAAAGAAATATAAAATGTGATCACTGATAAGAGTCTGTACGGTGTGGATTTTTTTACTTTATTAGGCAAAATAAAGTATTCATACCTGGATTCTCAAACAGTTCCTCTCCATCAGTACTGTTTAAACTTAGAAATTCGACTGTGAATCTCTGTGTCAGGATTTCTGGCAAAAGAAAGAAGTATGACTTTTAAATAAGTAAATTAGCAAAATGTATGTTCTATGTAGGGCACAAACTTCTGTCTTTCATTAGTGACTGAAGATTCAAATTAACACAAATTAATGGAAATCAGCCCCATAATTTTCTTTCTAGAGTCCGAGGGAAATTATTTTTAGGAAGAATTAGTAAATAAGAGATTCTATCACAGAATTTCCATCCAGAAGACAAAGAAAAAAATCAAAAATCATAAATGTCATGATACCTCCATCACATAAGCTTCCAAGGAAAACAGTGACATTTATTTGCTCAATGTTCTTGTCTTTCCAAGTGAATTTGTAATGTTCTGCAAAAGTTACATTTTGACACAGAACCTCAGCAGCAAGGTTTTCTGGCAGAAGGAAAAGAGAAAAGGTCATAATGAAAAGCATCCTAATTAGAAAGCTCTGCTACTTCAGCTAAGAAAGAATACATTAAAACCTTGGCAAAATTCTGGAAATTACAACATCCATCTTTTTGGGAATCCATTTTTCTGTTTCAATGTGCAGTGGTGCAATCCCTCATGTATGCAAGGTAAGGAAACTGATTTTCTGACCAACTGTGATCAACTGGAGTAAATTAAATACTTCCTGCTTTGCAGGAAGCCAGTTTACTTTTTCAGTCTTGAATAATATACAAAAATTCCTCCTAAGAATTGCAGCAGGTGAACATTTGAGACATCAAAATAATCTATTTCATACACAATCCAGGTTAAGCAAGAAATATTAATTAAATGGAAGAGACCTACCACTTTCAGTGATGAATTTGCCCCTGTCAGTGACAGCTCTATAGACAACATTTTGTTGGATGAAGTCTGAGAATGAAAAACAAACAAAGACTTCTGTTTTCACATCCAAGGTGCAATCCTTGTTGTTATGAAAACTGAGTAGGAAATTATTTAGAAAATTAATTTTGGTAAAGACTCATACTGTTTATGTATTCTGAAAGCACAGCTTATATTGCAGAGGTAATATAGGCTAACAAAATTAGATGATTATGGAGCATAAAATATGTTCATGCTGGTAATCACATTATCTCAAACCCAGAATGACTCTTCATAAGTATAGGCTTTTGTAATGCAGAGAGTAACCACTTCTCACTAACTCTAAAACGCTGATACTGCACCCTCCTGACAGAAAAGGGGCTCTGCAACAGTCTGAAAGTAAGTCACCAGGAACAGGCAAATGGGAAACAAAGGCCCATCCCATTATTTCTTACCTCCTAAATCTTGGGAAGCAGTGGGACACTTGCTAGAAGGTCATGAGAAACAGGAATAGAACATCCCCAAATGCTGAACTACAGCCACCAGATAACACAAATATTACATTTAACAACTGTGCCAACAGCCCTTGGGTTTGTTCTGTTCCAGCAGCTCTGAGAAACATGAAATGCATTCCTGCTTGGATTCCTGCAGCATACCTGCAGTGCCAGTGTTTATCCTCACATCATGGGGCAGGCCTTCCTTGTAAGACTCCAAACTGGTCAGGCATTTGACATCAAAGTTGTGGAGATAGGCCACGGGAGCATTCCCAACACACTGCCCAGCCACGGATTGCTGCGGGGGGTTCACACAAATAAGGATTTTCTAGTCCCTTGCTCTTCATTTGAAGATTACTTGTTAGTAAAATGCCCCACGTGTGCATTACAGAACACTCTGACGAGCGAGCTATTTGATGTTATAAAAACACCTCAGCCTCTGGCAAGAGAGAGCACAGCTTTAAAAGTAGTTTCAATGTACTTTGAAAAGCACAGCTTTAAAAATAGTTTCAATGTACACCATTACTTCATTTTTGAAAATAATTATAACCAACAAGTGTCTCCAAAATGCATTACCTTTTGCAGGGATGGGCAAGGGTATGAGGAAGGATAATGTTTACTTTTAATAATGACTTTGTGGTTTTGTTTCGGGTTTTTTGTTTGGTTGGTTGAGGGTTTTTTTGTGACAAATACACCCCACCACTTCCCAACATCAAGTTGCTGAAATTGGATGCAAAGCCATAAGGGGTGTGATGCAGGGAGCTCCAAACAAAGCAAGAGGAATCAAAAGCTCATAAGCACCAAATGATTACCTGGGGAACAGTAAAATACTCATCTTCTTCTGTTATAATTGGATCTCCTTCTCTGTAACCAGTGAAAGGTTTCCCAGGAGAGGTTTGCAGAGGGATCTTAAATGAAGGAATTTTGGGTGTAGAACTGCAAACAAGTTTAAAAATTAAACAATGCTCTACTCTTTACCTCACACAATAATTACAGGTTTGCTTTCATGTCCCCTGTTCTTATATACTACCAATGACATTTCTCCACTTGCATTTAAGATTTACACCCTAAAACCCTAACTTCAAAGTAACTTTCATTATAAAGACAGGTTATATTTTTGGTCGCATAATGAGAATGATGAGATAATAAATTTTCTTAAGACTTACGTAGAGCCATGATAAAAATAGCCAAGAAATGGTGTGTTGTCAAGAGAAGACTGTACACAAAGGAAGGGAAACCACTCAGGGGTGTATTCCATTGACTGGGAGGAGCACAGCTGATCAAAAGGTGGATTTACATCCCCACCAAACACTCCAGTGAAACACGATGCACTGAATAACTGCTGCAAGTCTGGTGTACACTCCTGAAAGGGAAAAGAATGGTCAGTTTGCAGCAAGGTACTTGCAATACTTATGGCAATATAAAGCCAAACTTACAGGTAAGCTTTATAGAGAGAATATATTTTTAAAAATACTGGAGTATCCAAACATACCCTCTGGCCCATCTAGTCTGAAGCATTCAGTACCTCTCTCTCCCCACAGACAAGAGAGTCTAGAAACTTTGCAAACACTTAATCAAAGTTTAATAAGAAAGAAGTACCAGATCACAGCAACAACGAACATCACAAGCTCCAGCTGTTAAGTTACAAGGACAAGAGCCCAAGGGCTTAAATGCCTGGTTTGGGATGATAGTTGCATTTTCTGTAACAGAAGTAGAAGAGACAATCAGATTAAGTTGACTGAAATCCAAATAAAAAGAACATGCACACTGCAGTTTATTCTGTGTAGAAACTTTTTTAGAAATGATTGCTCATTATCTCTAATTGCTGCCCAAATCCCTATTTTTCCATACGGAAAGGAAAAGAACAGCCAAAATACCATTGCTTCTTACTTACCTGACACATTTCCTGCAAAGGAAGAGTTGGCAAATATTTCAGCTTGAATCAGGAGCTGTGCCAGCATCACTGAACCACGGCAAGCTAAAACCTGGAGTGTTTCCACCACGCACAGAGGTGAGGGGCAGCACTCAGTGGCATTGGGCAAACACAGCTCCAGAGTTCTGCCGAGGCTTACAGTCACCTTGGAAGTGTTCTGGAAAAAAACAAAATAAAGTTTGACACCTCTAATAGCTTGTATTAAATAGCTCTTGTCTATACCATTCATCAGCTTCTGAGAGAAAAGTTGGAATGAAGTGGAATAACAGAAGAATCAGTATTTTACATACCACACCAGGAGTTACATCCAAATTCCAATCTCCAGCTCTTTTACTTCTGCTGCAATTTGCAAGCTGCAATTTTCCTACAACAAAAGAAAAATTTTAAAGGTATTCCACTGTCATTTAGAAAAGACTTGGAAATGAGAACTACATTTAAACTCCTCTTGTGCCTTCAGGTACACCCTCAGGCCCAGATGACAAGGAACCAACTGAGAACTAAGGGGTTAATCACAGGAATGTCTGAAATTCCTGTTTCTGTAACTATTTTACTAAATTAGATGCATTACCATTTCTCTAGTAATTTCTGTGTCAAAAAATATTAACAATTCAAATGTATTTATTTACATGGGAAAAGGGGTTGAAGTGTTCTTACCTGTCTCTGCATCTCTAGGACTTACAATTATAGAAAAATTAACTCCTGAAGAATTGCCAAGGAAAAATGAATTCACTCTCTGCCCTGACATATGAATAAACGAAGGCTGAAAGACTAAAAAACAGAGAAAGAAACAAATTGACTGAAAAAGGTAACATCTGTAAGACGCATAGATCTTGTGCTTGGGCTATATTCTTACACTCTTAAATTTTAAATCGTCACAAACAGAAGAAAAATATCATGTAATGCCTAGTACAGGGTTGTATTTCCATTCTTGCCAAGTGCTGGAGGAGTGGGTGTTGCTTTCTATGCCACAAATTTACATGTGTGAAGATGCCCAGTAAACAGGCAATAAAATAACATTACAGCACTTACAGCCCATGCAAATACTACACAGCTCAGGCAACACCAGATTTAGCGTTTCTTGCTGACTTCAGCTTACACTTTTTAATTTCTTTGGGCCATGAATCGTGCCAGGAATGTCCCGCGATCCAGGAGCTGCGGGCTCCTGCCTTCAGCTTGTGCACGCAGTGTCCAGTTTAGGGTTCGGAGTTTCGCTGGATTTTTATTTCTAGACTTTGCCGTGGTTAAAAAGTCCGACATAAACCGCTCCACCCTCCCTCTCTGTGCTGAGCAGCGGCAGAAACCCCACGGCGAGCACTTTGGGAAGGTTCTTTGGGGAGCCCTCAGGGTCTGCGCCGCCTCCCCTCACGCCCACCCGGGCAGATCCCGCCGCGGGCCGACCGCCATCCCCACAGCCCCGCCCGTCCCTCGCCCCCCGGAGGCCGCCATTCACTGCGGCCGTTCACTCCCTGACCCACCGGTGTCCCCGGCCGGCTGCCCGGGGCAGGGAGCCGCCCGCAGCAGCAGCAGCAGCAGCAGCAGCGCTCCGAGGCCGGCAGCCCCCATAGCGCTACGGCGGCCGCCCGGCCGCCATCTTGCGGCGCCAGCGCGGCACCATGGCAACGCCGAGGGCGGGAAATCGCCTCACGGAAAGGGCGGGAAATCGCCTCACGGAAAGGGCCCGGGGAACGATGGTGGTGGTGGAGCAGGTCCAGACTCTGGGTCGGGCACAAATTAACAACGCTAACAAGCTCTAAGTGTGTGAGAAATTAAAGTTTCGGGCTCTGAGACCCTGGGCAGGGAATCGGCAGGGTTGGGAAGAGGGAGGTAGTATTGGTTATGAAGGCAAAAGAATGCAGAATTTATGGACCACTAGGTCGTCAGGCTGGACTTCCAAGTTAAGGAAGAAAGTAATAAAACCAGTTCAGTAATTGTGCTGAAATCAGATCCAAGCAGGTAATTCTGGTAGGAGGCCAGTGACCCGAGAAACCCCCAAACCCTAAAGAAGAGAGAAACTGAGCATGTGGACTAACTAGAATGAGAAGCAAGAGAATCATTAACACTATGCATTAGGCACTAGAGTACTAACTAATAAAAGAAGTATGTAACTTGTAGCAAATAAACACTAATTCCTTTGTTTGCTAGAATGTATAAATATTTAAGTTTTCATAACTGATGTACATTTTATGGAGCAGTTCCCATCTACCTCAACGTTGAATAAAGTAACATTGATTTTCTAAGCTTGCAAACTGTTTAGAGAGTTTGGTTTTGGTGACGATCCCAGACACGTCTGTCCCTCAGCATCTCCCCTGACTTGGACCTGTCCTCCCTCACCCATTGTCAGTCACATCACACCATGAGACTCAACAAAACTCCAAGAAAATCATGTAGCTCACCCTTAAATATCAAAGCAATATCTGACCACATTTGAAAAAGAGACTGTCTTTATTACAAAAGTTTTATACAACATAAATTATAAATACAGCCTTCGCACAAAATGGCTTTTGTCCATGAAAAAAAAAACTCGCCTTGTTACATTGGCAAGCCCAGAAAAAACTGGCACGGCAGCTGTTACAGTGACAAAACCTGATGTGAATATCAAGACCTGAAAAATTCCTGTAGACACATTGGGAAGGAAAAAATAATTTGTTTTCTATGTGACAAAAAAAAAAAATTCATCTCTATTGCTGTCAGGGGAAAGGTTAAACTACCAAATTATATAGTTCTCTTTAGAAGGAGATACTGTTTGTTTCTTTAAATGAAAGCCACATGCAGAAGTACACAGCAGACCTTCCTGCCAGAAAAGACACCAATCCAAAAGTCTTTGTTCTTGTCACATCAGATGGAAACCCGCATATTAAAAATAAGAAGTGTGCTTGTTATCACATTACAACTACATTTCTTGTTTTCCAGTTTCAAAATAAAACCAGCTAGTCTGCATTTTACTGATCCTATTTTAAACAAAGGGAGGCCTTTTCATTCACAAATGAAGAGATAGCAAATTGATAAAGAAATGCCACAAGGACAGTACAGTCACAGCAATATGAATACATGTGAATGCACATGCAGGGCACTTAGCACCTTTTTTTTTTCCCAAGTGGTTCACAAACCATCCTGAAAATGATGGCTCATATTGCTAATAAGAAGTTGAAGTCCCTGGAACAACACAATGCTACAATTGTGATCCTACACACTAGAAATGGTAATTTTTAACTTTACACCAACATATAGAAAGAACCAAAGCTTTCCTGACTTTGAAAATAACTCAGAGGTGTGAAACTTAGCAGTGGACAGAATGCCCTCAAATTCACAGGCTGTGTCTCTTTACCAGGATGTAACTTCTGGTTCCTCTTACAGTTGAGAATTAGTATTTAAACCATCACAGATTGCATGGTAGTACAGTGATTTGTTACTTAACAGGCTGCATAGAAAACACACATTTGAAATATTTATCCCCTAAGAAACAAGTAATAGCACTGCATACAGTTCTCTTTCATATCCAATAAAAAGTGCCATCAGTTTCTCAAGTAGGTTCCATTTCATGGAATTACTGGAGGAGGTAATGATGTATTTACATAATGTTGCTATGCAGCTACCTTTAATTTCTTCTTCTTTGCTTTCATGACAGGTGGCAATGATATTTTGAAAGCAGTCCTGGAAAAAAATATGGAAAAGCAACTGTCAGATACACTGAACATATTCCCACACCCATCCTTGAAACACAAAGAACAAACACTTACTCGCAGGTACTGCAGATAGGACTGAAGTTGCAGAATACTGAAAAAAATCAAAGAATTGGCTTTCACTAAAACACGTCATTCGAATGTAAGAAATCAGACTGTTAAATATTTATAAACTTACTTGACAAGCACACGGAGCACACGTAGCCAATTTCAATGAGGTTGCGGTGACAGAAGCAGGCAGCTCTGTAGTCAACATGAACAGGAGGAGGAAGGACAAGCTGTGATCTCTGCTCTTGATCAGGGAGGAAAACCCACTGTATGGATAAAGAAAAGTATTTTGTGGATTGGTATTCCTGTATTATCTCGTCAGTGAAGTAATATTTCACACCTGAAGTGACTTACCAACAAATACTGCAGAAGGGATGGCATGTGGGGCACTTTCAAATATATGCCACCTGTAATATCACAGGCCTGCAGAGCAGAGACAATGATCACATCATTGTTTGATGACATTAACAGGGCATTTAAAATATTCATGTACTGCACAAGGCCTGCCTGTCAGAGCTGTCAGATCCACTGAACATATTCCCACACCCACTCTTGATTAAAGGAAAGAGCTGAAGAACATGTTGAGCTGCCTAACATCAAGTACTTATGAGTTAATACAAATGGCAAATAAGAACAGCAAGCCTGTACCTGTTGTAGAAGACCTGAATCAGAGTCCAAGACACAGGCATCAATCAAAATACTCTGCAAGAGATGAAATGCATGAAAAACAAATTTAGCCAGGACCCATACAGCCCTGTCAGTGTTACTGTCATGATTTATTTCCATGATAAATGCACTATAAATCACGTAATCATAAGAGAAATTAACACTTGTGTTATCTTTGCACAGAAATCAAAGATAATATAAACGGAAAAAAGCTCCACCTGTTTCTGTGCTGCGAAGATCACGTTCATGAAATTCATGTATTGCAATGCACTGTCTTCTGCAGCTTTTATGACCTAAATAAAAACTCAAACTTGTTAGCCTACATATATCACTGGATTTCAAGATTAAAAGAAAACTGTGGCAGCAAAAGTTCTTACCAGAATCCTTGATTTAATTTCTTGATTGGCTAAGTATTAAAAAGAAAGAGAAATACATCAGCACGTTGTTTGTATCATCCCTTTAATTCTGTAGCATCTGAGACTTCAGAATATACTGGATGTTAGATCTAACAGGTCAGATAAAATATCTATATGAAACTATTTCCAATCCCAGTGGCAATTATCTGTGGAACAATTCCTCTCAACCTCCAGTTATTCCAAGGAAATTCCAGTTACAGTTTTATTTACACACAACAGAAAATCTCCCTAAGGATGTGGACTATTGATCAAGTCCTTTAACTTTTTTAAATTAAGGCAACTTCAAATGATCAAAACAAACCTCTACCTATTAGTGCCAATTTTGGGATTGGAGGTGTGTCCAAACATGCATATTTGTTTGTGTGTCCATGTGCATTTATACCTGTTATTCAGGTTAAAATATTTACTCAATGTTGAAAACAGGAAAAGAGGATTTACCTTTTAGGTCTTTGCCCATCTTGTTGATGTCTACATTAGCTGGCATCAAGGAATCTACACTGAATTCTTGGAAATAACTCCATGATCCACACCACACATTCACCATCTTGGCCAATACACATTTTGATAAGCACAAGCCACAGTTATCAGGTAAATGTTTCAGTTATAAGTATTATAGCAAAATAAGAATAGTAAAAGTCAGTATTATAAGAAACAGTCTTCAGAACACATAAAGGCTTTGAAGATTCTGTGATCAAAAGGATACAACAAAGTGCTTTAGCCAGTGATCCTGCTAACAGGGTTTCTGTTTGCTGGCCCTTCATGTCAGCTGCAATACAAGAAAAAGTGCACAAGTTACTTTTATATATAAAAACAGCTACTGAACCTAACAATACAAAATACTACACATTTTTATCTTTGGGAAATAATATTAATGCAGAATCTGAAGTGTCAAACATAATAAACTCATCTACTTTAAGCATATTAAAATTTATATGATGAAAATAGAGGACATTTCTGCCATTCCTTGACAGTCCAAATGTCTTGCAATTCTGCATATTAAGCCTAGAATTTTCTTCTCCTTACTCTTTGTCATGAGGTCTTTAATCTCTTCTGCAATTGCATCATTTATTGCTGTT